TCTTAACTGTTGACTCACATATGGTGACCAACTCTAAAAGAGGGCAAATCATATTGCATGACAATTGCTTGCAATATGATCTTGCACAACACATGACACATTTTCTTATGTTCTAGATTCCGAAGTCTAAATTGCGAAGCACATGCGGAAGTAATTATACTCGCTTGTACTGAAACGTTTGTCATAAAGCAATGACAAATCAAAGGAGTCGAATTTCCAACTCATAAATTATTTTGCTTTGCAATTTCTGGGATATAAATATTAATTTCAACTGTTTTGGGTTAAATTCTCAGATCATCATATCGCACACAGTGAATTGCGGGTGGTCATGGTCTGATATGACACTACAATTGGATATTTATTATACCGTCCCTTAAAAGAAATCCATACAATCCATTTAAAAATAAAAACGAGTTAATAATAAATATGATTGCGAAAATTAATTCAAATGAACGTATTTATGGCGATCTGCAACAAATTTAAATGAAGTTATGAGTATATATTTTCTTTTTCAACCCTTTTTCTTTATAGTCTCTACATAAAGAATAGACGCAATAATTTTTGATATCTTTCTACAAATGCAATTTCCAGTTGTTTTTTCTGCACACTACTGAATATAATTTCAATGAAAGCGATTAACGAACTTGTTGGCTATTCAAAAAATAAGAATAGCTTGATGAAGATTTGCATCATGCGTGAGAAGATCGAACCAAATGGTGTAGGAAAAATAATGCCTTCATTCTTCAATGAGCTGCTGTAAAGGTTTGATATGCTTATAAGGAATTAACTTCTTATACCTTAAATGAACTTATATGAATATCTTAAATGAATTTATACTGCTGATTTTATGTTCTGTTTATTTTTAGATTTTAATTTCAATTTAGATCAAACGTTACAATGTGCTAATAGGTCTCAGTAAAAGGAAAAGTCATTATTTTACTATCGTAAATGGACAGTAATACATTTGTAACTTCAACAAAACAAATAATTTTCTTTCTCAAAAAAACAAAGGGCGATGAGGAAACAATCGATAAAGTGATCTTCGTAGAGTGGTCGATTTGTGTAAAAATTAATTAAATTTATTGAACTTACTATATAATTTTATATTAACTTCAGCACTTTGAAAGTTATAGCAACTAATTCAGAGTAAAACTAATCTCAGAGTCGCTAATCACTATTACTAAGTATAGCACACGTGAATACTCTAAAACGTGAGCATCCCAAAACGTGAACAACCTTTTGTGTGCAAGTCAATTAACGTGAACACGTCAATAAAGTTCTATAACCGCAAAATTTACCAGTTGGAATTTCGTCTTTACATAAGCGTTTCGTTTTTGGCTACGTAAAAATAAGTTCGAAAAAACCTATATGCTTAAAACAAAAAGCTGAAATTCTCGATTTTTTACAAAAATAGCGAAAAAAATATGCTATTAAATATAAGACAACTGATTTTAAAATGCGTAAACCGAACTTTTTTTGAGTGTGGAAAAGAAAAATCATGCGTGCTTCAGAGCTGCTTCTTCTTCAAATATCTGGCGAAAAACTAAAGCTAAAATTGTTGAATTAGCGTTGTGTAACGATCAGTTAAATAATGCTGATAAGTCCGGCTTATTTTGGAAACTTCTGACAGATAAAACGTAAGTATCCAGTTTGGAAGAGAGTGCCCCAAATGTAAAGTTGGAATCACATTTTTGTGTTGTTCAAACGCCACTGGATCTCATAAACTTAAAATTTTGATAATTAGACTAAAAACCCACGCTGCTTCAAAAACTTTTAGTGTCTTACTAACTATAAAAGTTCAAAATCCGCCAGGTGAAATCATTTTTTAAGAGAGAAATGCTTGATAATCAAATCTCTTCTCCTGATCGACAATGTCTCTTCCTATCCAAATGAAGCTAAACTGACGACGAAAGATGAGTAAATTTTGGTAATGTTTATGCCACCACAAGTTACTCCCCTCATTCAACCGATAGATAAGAATGCAATAAAAATCACGAAGCCACACCACAGAAACAACTTTCTTGCTTCAATAACAGCAATGCAATCTGATTTGCTCGAGTCTATGAAGAAAATAACATTAAAAAATGCTATAAGTCTTTTGGTAGGCGCTTGGAATCGTGTCGGCAAAATAACCCTAACAAAGTGCTGAAACAATGTTTTAAGTTTTGTGATAACTGATGATCTCGAAAATAGCGAAGATTTGCGATCATAAAATAAAAATGGAAAGATGAACTTTTCTCCTTGATGTACAACACTATAAATCTTCTTAACAGTTTAAATGCTAAGGTTTGTTCGTGAGCGTAGACATGCAATATGTGACTTATTAAAAGTTTTGCTCTTTTTAACAATTTCAGAGTGAATGTACGTTATCCAATACTCAGGAATGGAATGAAGATATTGAGAAAGATAACACGGATGATGATATTGAGCGTGACGACAAATGCGACGAAGAATGCATCTCAGAGGCACCGCAAAAAATTAAACCAAGTGGAGCAGTTGGAGTTTTCAACAAAGTGGTACAGTCAGCCAGCCATGAAATGATATGATATGATGAAGATGATATGAATTTACTTAGAAGTGTAAGGAAGAAAGCTGTGGGTTAATTATTAGAAGAACAGAAGCCCCAAAAAAGATTGACTTTTTTCTAATAAAAAGTTTTCATAAACTTCATTTCATGCCGTGTCTCTCAAGTACAAATTAATATGTACAACAATAAAATGTGAATTTAAATGTGTAAATATATATATATTTTTGTTATGTATCAATAAACAACATACATGGATTATGCTATTACTGCACGCCAATATGCATTCATTGTGCAATCGACGGATTTATGAAAAACTGAAGGCGCACCGACACATACATACGTGTGAGGTCAATGTGCAACGTGCAATCTACGTGCCGCTGAATACAAGCGCTCAAAGCAGAAGATATGTTGTATCAGCACAATGTGACTTTTTGTTCCGACTGAAGCAAAATTAAACGGCATAAAAAAAAATAAGAAGCAGCGGTGCAGGTGTTTATCGAGCACTCAGTGTGTGAAGTAGTGTCGCAGTGTCAAAACGTAACAAAAACGACAAGACGTTAAAAATAAGAACACAATAAGAACAAGTACCACAAATACCAACAACAAATATTATATACCGATGCGCTACACAAAACCTTCGATCATTTGAGTATAAATAAGCGCGCATAGTACAAGCAAAATCCCTTGTTGGGAAACTCTCAAAAGTAGTATTACGACTTTGTGAAACAAGTCAGTAGAAACGTAGTCAAGGTATTATAGTTTTATACATCTTGACTAGTAATCTTAGTAAACGTCAAGGTAGTTACTTACATTTTGACTAGTAATCTTAGTAATATGTCAAGGTTGTTTTATACATCTTGACAAGTAATCTTAGTAATACGTCAAGGTAGTTACTTACATCTTGACTAGTAATCTTAGTAATACGTCAAGGTAGTTACTTACATCTTGCCTAGTATTCTTACCTATGTCACGTCAAGGCAGTTGAATACATCTTGACTAGTAAACTTAGTACTACGTCAAGGTAGATACATAAATCTTGACTAGTAGTTTGATATTCAAGAATGCAACATAAAATTCTTATTTTTCAGTTAAGAACTCACAAGAAGAATGCCATCTGTCCGAAAGCACAATAACAATGCCTGGATCAATTATCAAAACCCCAAAAATTCTCATAGGAAACAAACACATTTAATAATAATATATTGCAGTTACAAAAAAATACCTTGTTCTTTTGATTATAATTATTATAATTTTATTTTAAATATAATTTTAAATAAACAAACGAATAAATTATATTTAATTGTCTTTGACTTCTGAAAATAAAAATTATATTGCAACGACCCATGGTCAACGGCTAAGTATACCTCAGCATTATCAACGAACGAAAACGTGTCGTTACAATATCCAATTATTCGCACAGTTTGTAAAAATCTCACTGAATAATAGTTATAAAAGGAAGAAATGAAAAGCAAATATTAGTGAAAAGTAAATCTCATCAAATAAAGAAGGCTAGTTAAAATGAATATAAATTAGAAATGAAATAAATTAAACAACAAATATTAAAAAGCGGAGGAAATAACGAATGAACTCATTAGTGACAACAACTACTACCAATTCAGCCATATCAGTCAAACATTTCCCATTGCACATACCGATAATAACGTCGACCAACAACAACAACAACAGCTACATTCACAGCAACAGCAACCGCAGCAGCGACAGTGACACTACATATTCCGTAACAAGTTTTCAATAAAAAATCTAAAAACTAAAACAGCATGTGTATTCTTTTGGGTGACAGGTGTCACAACAGTTTATTCTGGTTTGAAACTCAAAAACTTGAGCAATTTGACAATTAGTTCACGCTTTCAAGAGTGTACTGTATATAAATGTCAGTTTTGTATTTGAACACTCATTTCAGTTTAAGTAATCTATAGTTAAATAATACATTCGTTTAATATATTTTAACAAAATGTTCATTTATTAATATTTATAATTAATAATAATATTAATTTTCAATAAATTAATTCATTTACTTTATATACCATATGACTCACATAGGCATAAATGGACATATGTGTGTATATTAGGTGCTTCTTTAAATGAGTGGAAGAGATTATGCGTATCTCAAATAATCGACTATAACAGGATACAAACATTTTTGTAATGAAGGATTTTTCCACTTTTTCTTCTCTTTTGCCGACTGTAGTAAATCGGTGAAAACTTTTCATTTTTTAGGGGTGTTAGTGCTGAATACCCACCAACGCATTTATTGTAACCCAAATCTCCTTAGCAGGGGTAAAAAGCTTTTTCAAAAAGCTTTTGAAGCTATACATACGTAAAATTGCAACTATTCACTACTAAAAAACGATTATTAACGCAGACTGCGAGTTCATTTAGTTTTAATTCGCTAATATTTGTGAATATAATTTACAAACTATTGCATTAGTGTTGACGTGTTTGAAATTAGTCTTAACAGAAAAAAAGTTGAATTAATAAGTTGTTACATGTTTTAAAAATATTTGAAGAGTGAATAAACGAAATCGTAATAAAAATTCGACAATGGATAGCAAACTTGCTTATATCGACAAATGATTATATTTTAAATAAAAAGCAATGAAAGGGGAAACTGTTGAATGTAATATGACGTTGTTTCACAAATTCATCTAAGCGAAATTTACTTGCAAAAACGCGGAAAGCTCGTATTTTTTTCCAATAACAAAAATTTATTTAAAAAACTACTAAATTTCTCTGTTTAAAAATTTTATACTAACTAGGAAATCAAAATATGAAGCCATCAGATTTTTTACAATTAGCGGAGAGGGTAAATATCAATGATTTATTTATTATAATTTACACCCACGTATCCTGAAGAACCAGATCTTCGATCAAAAAAAATAATGCGTCGAACTGGTAAGAATCGGTTGACTCGTAAATGTATATAACTTAAAGTACCCATTTTTTGTTAAAAACGGTTCACTTGTGTGTACTTGCATTTCACAATATCTTTCAACTTCAAGTACCTATCGTAATTTTATACGACTTTTATTTCCTTGACTGTTGTATATCAAATTAAATTATTTTGTGAATAAAACAATTATCTAGGGCCATTTAAACTATCACATATATCCATTTATAATATCTCTTTCGCTATTCTGATACTCAAATTAGAATGTTATTAATGCGAAAATATTAAGGATACCAAAAGTTCCTTTACCTTTTTGATTTTTGATGAAAGCTTTTGTACAGGTTCTGAACACAAACACATTAATATGTACAAAACATATACAAACAATTAGTGTACACAAACTGATTGTGTATTTGTATCTATGCTAAATAAGAGTCCTGTGTAATTGAAAGACATATATTTATATATATATATATATATACAGTGTTGTGCATAACAAAAGCAACCAAAATTTGCCCATCAAATAAATAAGTTTTTTGTCTACTTTTTACTTTTCATTCAAAAACTTAAATACACAGTTTTATTTGTTATTGTATTAGCTATTATAAAAAAACAACAAAATCTACAATTCTAAATAACGGGTTAAATAATTCACAAAAATAATGAGATATTGCGAAATGCGGCTGTGCAGAACAATAGCAACTTTATTTATTATATTAAATTTTTGTATTATTTTTCTAAATTTTGTATAAAGTCCTTTCCTTTTTATTACTTGGGCACTTCTACGGGTCAAAGGTGATATTAAATTGTTAATAAAACTATTTGGAATTTTACACCATTCATCTTTCATGACCTCAAGCATTTGGATACTTTTCGACCCCCAAAGCGACGTTTAAGAATACCAAAATGTTCTCAATTGAATTAAAATCAGGTGTTTGGGCAAAAAACAGTAGACAAAAAACTTATTTATTTTATTTATTTGACTGAACTAATCTTCTTGATACTTTCAGATCATATTTATATAGTTTTAAGGCGAAACATAGGCCATTAAATCATTCGATATTAGTTAAAATTTTAACTTAAATAATAAATTTAATAATTTCTGTTTCAAACTGTCCGACAGTTTGAATGATACTGATTTCTGTTTTGTTTATTTTTGTGTATATTGTTCGAACTTTTACGAAGTAGCAGAAATGACAGATATAATAGAAATTTTATATGTTAATTGAAATAAATTGAAAATTGGTCAAAATATTATTTTTTAATAAATGCATTTATGTTAATAATGTTAAACTCAAATAAAATTATAGTTTTCATTATGTATTTGAAAGAAATAGTAATTTCATATGATATTTAATTTCACCAAGTTTTTACTATAGATTTATTAAAAATGAAGCATTTATTTATTGCATTTATGCAATATAAAAAAATATTCAGATAAGGCTAAAGTACTTCAAAAATGTCACATCATTGTTTGGGATGAAGGCACAATTTATTATTGGATAGATGTCAGCTAGTCGGTTTAGTTCGTTAATTTATTCTTAACATTATTTTATATTTGAATTTCTGATGAAAGATTGAAGACCTTTACTTGCTGCCTCGCTGTTAATAAAAATGACAACACTACATCTGTCCTTGATATGGCTTGCAATTAGCCGACTTGCTTCCTTAATTGCTAAAACTTTAACCTGAAAAACCGTGTACTCATTAGGTGGCCTAAGGGAGGTGCAGTCCATTTTCCAGCCATTTATAAAGATTGACACATCAATGTTCTGCTCTTGCTTGTAGAACAATTGGTTTACAATATATAGGAACGGTTATTTGTTGTTCTTTGTGGGTAACTGTTAAAGAGAAGGTGTAATAATCAATATTACATTTAAAATTGGTAAGGAAATCTCTACCGATGATGCCATCTACTTCAATTGGAAAGTCCTCTTCTACCACCGAAAATTTGTGCTGTATTGTTATATCTTCAAATTCCATTTGAAGAGTCGTGATGCCTAAGGAATTTCTGTAATTGTTGGTGATACCAACTAATACACATGTTCTATTTGAGTCGTAGTTTAAATTAAATTTGTTTCTAATTATTGACACATCTGCTCCTGTGTCGATTAATAATTTAACGTAAGTGTTAGTGTTGTTACATTGAACTTCTATATAGTTAGATACGTTAGGGTTAAATGAGTAGATATTTTTATTCAATTTACCAGAGGTGAATTCTACTGGTTTCCCTCTGGTGGGTTGTAGTTTTCCTGTGCTGATGTTAAACGAATTCTTCTTTCGTTACCAACATTGTTTCTGTTGCTGTTTCTATTAGAGTTATATGTATGTCTTTGGTTATAGGTGTTGTTATGGTTATTTCGGCCATTATATCGGTTTCTGTTATTATTGTTATATCGTTGATTTCTTTGACCTGCACTGTTATTATTATTGTATTGATTTCTATTATATGAATTATTATATTTATTATTATTTTGGTTTCTTTGACCACTGTTACTATATTGATTTCTGTTGTTTGGGCGAAAATTGTTGTTATTTTGCCGATTAATATTTCTATTATTATAATAAGTATTACCTCGGTAATACAACATTCGTTGATTTTGTTCCGTAAAAATTAAACTTTCAGCGACTTCTCTCGCTTCTTGGAAAGTTTTTGGTTGTGCCATTTGTGCTGCTTGCGAGTACATTGGATTCAGACCTTTTTTATACGCCAGTAATGCGTTCTCATCATTTGTTGCTAACATCCCTTCTGCTTGTGGGGAATTTGCGTTGTAATTTCTCTTTAATAAGGATGACGTATTCAAATCTGATAATAGCTTGGCCATTTTATCACTGTATTCTGTGATTGGTTGGTTATGGCCTTGCCTGGTTTCGTTAATTTTTTGTAAGAGCATTGGTACTGTATCTTTAGGAATGTAAGTTGACTTGAGTTTTTCTACCAACTGATCCAAGGAATCTGGAAAACCTATTGGAGAAACTCGTATCTTTACATTGTGATGTAGTTTACAATCTACAATGTGTTCTAAAAATTCCTGTTTGTCTCCATCTCTAATCTTTTGGCCGTAGAATTTCAATCTCCTTAAGAAGGAATTTAATTCTTCTTGTTTTCCCGTGAATATGGGCAGTAGCTTTACTACGCTTTCAATTACTGCGTCGTATGTCGCCATTCTACTTGTTATATCTGTACTGTTGTTAATGTCGTTTAGTATGTGATTACTTTGGTTTGTAGTTTGCGTATTTTGCTCAGGTGTTGTCATAGTTAAAAGATACTTTCTTGTCTGTATATATTTTTCTAGGAAGACTTCTTTTAAGACGGAAGCCTCTTCTAAATTTTTTGTGATATAAATCGATTCGACAAGAGTTTTTAGATAGTCTAATCTATCTAATTTGGTAGCTACAGTGGGTTTTGTATACCCTCTAATACTAGCCTTTTTAGCGTTTTTTAGAATAACCTGAACCTCACTTATATACACGGCAATATTTTCCATAAATCAAGCAGAGAAAAAAAATCAGTAAGACGATGGTAAAACAAATCAATGAAGATAAAAAGAGTGGTATATATTTAAAGGAATAACAATTGGTTATGAAACAAAATTCGCTTTAATTTATTTAGTTTATAAGTTTAGTATTTTTACATAGTGTTAATATGTATTTATTGAAGAGAGAGAAAAAAAAATTTTATATATATATTTTTAAAAAAAATTATACACTTTACATAGTACAAATTATTAATTCAAATTTTTATTTGTATAAATTTTGAAAAAAAAAAAAAAAAATTTTTTTTTTTTTCTAATATTATTGAATTCATTCATATTTAATATATTGATCTTCAATTTGTTATATATTTATAATATATTAATATTTTTTTTTTTTTTACATAACACAATATAGTAATAATGATGATAAAGAAATAATATAATAGTAATAGTTAATAGTTATAATATTTATACATTGTTTGAATTTAAAGAAGTATGTATATGTTTGTGTACATATTTTTTTATATAATTATTTATTTTATAGGCAATGTAAAATATTATAAATACAATAATTAAGGTTATTATCACTACCTCTATATTACCATTTGTGGGGTTTGTTGCACGATTCAGCATATTATTGGTAATTTCTGTCTTCTGTTGGAGGTTGTTGTTTGTGTTGTGTTCATCACTTGAGAACCATCCCATTGTTCTGCACTTTAAATGTTCTGTCTCGATTATGATTTTTGTTGTATTATTATTGTGTTGCTTCACAATATTATAGTTTAATCAAATTTTCATGTAATTGTAATTGTGTAGCTTCACAATATTATAGTTTAGTCAAATTTTCATGTAATTGTGTTTTTATTTAGTAAATATTTATATTTACATTGTTTTACTTCACAATATCTATAAGTATATTTCAATTTACAATAATAATCAATTTTAGTTTAACTTTTCACTGTATACTTTTATTTAGTTCAGTACATCTTAATTTTATATTACTTTTAAAATTTAGTTTATCACTTCACAATATACTTTTCATTTAGTTCAGTACATTTTAATTTTATTTTAGAAATTCAAACTAGATAGATGTTCTGGTCCTTGCCAGTTTGGCAGGATCGCCATGTAATAGTTTTAATGTTTACTTATGTAATCGTATTATTTAAAAATCAAAGACATGTCGTTTTGAGTGTTCATTAGAGACTGATTTTATTAAATTTTTATTCTTAACTCTTACATAATTTCTAACAACTAATTTCCAATAGAATGTTATGTATCGATTCTATTGGTTGATACTTAAATTTACTTACGTCTAATTGGTTAACCCAAATTAGACGTATATAATGTTTTTATAGAAATAGCTTATCTATATTTATTATTTAAATGGTCTTCTATTTCACAGTGGCACACATTTGGTAACCAACTGTATTGAGGACAAAT